TCACTTCTTTTTTCTTCACTCTGCCTCAGAGGCCCCAGTTCTTAGCTGAGAAATACTCTGGTGTCCAATGTACCAGAGTGGGGCTGAGTCATTTCTTTGTAGGAGGGAGAGCCGAACACTGAGAAATGAGTGGGGAAGGTTGGCTCACATTACCCATGCGATATGAACCTCCTGATGGGCCCTCCTCATCCTTTTCCACTTCTTCCCTTAGTTTTTCTTTTTGGCCTTTAGGCTACAATGTCAAGGAACACCAGTTCTGAGGAAGCCTTAGCTTTCGTTTCCTTGCTGGGATCATGGCCACGGCTGGGAAAACAAATGAACCCAATGGGGCATCGTTTGCAGACCTGGTGTTTGGGGCCAACTGGCCATTACCTGTTTTTCCCCCCCAAAGGGTTCAATGTGGAGACAGTGGAGTACAAGAACATCAGCTTCACAGTTTGGGATGTGGGTGGCCAGGACAAGATTCGGCCTCTCTGGAGACACTACTTCCAGAACACCCAAGGTATGGCATATGACTTGTCCAGGGACTGGCATGGGTTGGTTGGGTGTGAGCAAAGACTGTGGCTGTCATTCTTGGTATGGGTAGTGAACCCTGGCCCTGCTGTAGCTCCTGTGGGTGGGAGAAGAGGAGCAAATGTTGCAAATATTTGCAAGATATAAGGAGGGTGTTGTCTTTTGGTGGTGGGGGAGGGGAATTCATCTGTCGTCTCTGTGCAGCCCATGCTCTGCCTCCCTAGGGTTGATATTTGTGGTCGACAGCAATGATCGGGAGCGAGTAAATGAGGCCCGGGAGGAGCTGATGAGGATGCTGGCTGAGGATGAGCTTCGGGATGCTGTGCTCCTTGTCTTTGCAAACAAACAGGTGAGATTTCTCCCCACCCCTGGGTTTGAGAGAGGGCAGCCTGGCTTCAGAAATTAAGGGCCTTGGAGCTCAGTGTACAGGAAATCCTATGACTATGCCCTCAATTTTAGAAGTGTGGGAAATAGGATAAGTTGGCTTTTTATCCTCTTCTTGTCCCCCATCCTTGCTTTAATTAGCAACATTCTATCCTCAGGGATTGGTGTGGTAGATGCATCACCTCAAATTCCTCTTTCATCTTCCCTATTGTCTACTTCAGTGTAACTGCCCTCACTCCTCGGTCAGACAGACCTGGTGTCTTGGCCCAGTCTGAATCACCTCTCCACTTCCCTACCATTCCGATATTTGGTTTCCACCAACCCAATGGAATGACCTCTGATATCTTGGATCTGGGTTTCTGGGATGACTAAGTGCAAATCAGCTTCTTAGGATCTTGTTCTGGGTCCCTAAAGTGGAGGAGGAGGAGGAGAGGGTACCGGTAAAATGCTCATTGGTTATGGGTGCTCTAGAAGCCTTTGAAAGATTCTGAGATTTCTTTCTTTGTGTCTCCCTCGTGCTCCAGGATTTGCCTAATGCTATGAATGCTGCTGAAATCACAGACAAGTTGGGCCTGCATTCCCTGCGTCATCGCAACTGGTATATTCAGGCCACCTGTGCCACCAGTGGGGACGGGCTGTACGAAGGCCTGGACTGGCTGGCCAATCAGCTCAAAAACAAGAAGTGAGAGCCAGGCAGCTCTATCTGACCACCCCCACCACCCCTAATATACCTACTGTCTCCCTGCCCAGCCCTACCCCTTCCTTCCCGTTCCAGTGTGGCCAGGGCCCTGGGTATCATGTCCGCATGCCCAATAAGAGCCTTATCTCTCCTGCCTCCCCTTCTTTCCCCTGTCCATGACCAGTCCCCAGTTGCTGTCCTTATGATGAATCATTCCAATTTATCAGATTTAAAACAAAAACAAGGTTGTTATGGTTTCATGGGGTGCCTCCCCCGTCCTCTGAGGTTTGGGAAGTGAGGTGGGGTAGTCTCTCTGTTTGCTTCGTTTGGCTCTGGTTGCTGTGCTCTTGGCATCTGAGTCCCTTCCCTCTCCCTACAGGCCCCTCTCCTACCATTTTTTTCCTTCACTACCCTCTCCCTGTTCTACGTGGAAATTGCACGGGCCTCTCTTTATGTGCGTGCATGTGTGCGCGTGTATATACATATATAAAGAGATACATATGTAGGGGCCAGGAAGAAGGGTAGAGCGGGTGGAGGACAGCTCAGGGCTTGCAGCCCACTCTAGCCTATCACCTGCCCCTCCCATGTTGGTGAGATAAAGGAAATACGGTCAAGGGAAGGCTGCCCCAGTCTTACACTGATTCCTCTCTTCTCTGCAGGTAGGTTTTCCTGGATGATAGGACA